GAAAACTGGAATCCTAGAAAATCTTCAGAACACAAGAACGCAGCAAAGCGTTCACTGGAGGAAACCGGCCCTGTCGCATAACAAAGACTCTGTTCTGAGTTCGGAGCCAGGTACTCAGTTTTACAAGAGCTAGAGTACTATTTTGTGGTGGACCCCATGCATAATCTTTATCTTGGGAAAGCTATACACATGATGAAGAACTGTGGTTGAATGAGAAAAATGGGTTCCTCAGTGATGAGCACTTTCAAAGAATCCAAGAGCTAGTAGATTTTATGACGGTTCCTCAAGATATTGGACGTATACCAGGAAAGATTTTATCAAGTTTCTCAGGATTCACAGCAGATCAATGGAAAAACTGGATATCAGTGTATTCATTGTTTGCGCTCAAAGGAATCCTACCTGAAGACCACTTGCAGTGTTGGCGTTTCTTTGTTCTTGCTTGCAAGACCCTAGGCAAGGGAGTTCTGACTGACAATGATATTGAAATTGGAGACAGGCATCTGATGCAATTTTTTAAAACATTTGGGACATTGTATGGTTATTTACATGGCCATTTGAAGGAGTGCTTACTAGATTATGGTCCATTTCATTCCTTCTGGAATCGCACAAATAATTAAGTGCAGCTCTCGCTGAGAGCGGTCCTCTCGACTTCCCGTCGGGAAAAAGTTTTCTTTTATTTTTGCCTATGAAAAGGGTGTAAGACACATGTTTCAAAAGTAGTTTAGTTGTTCTCCAATTCTCTTTTTTTGCGTCGCCACAAGCCAAAAATGATTTTTGGCCAGACCACCCCTGTGGACAGCGATCGAAAGTGTAAATTTCAAAGAGTTTGTCCAGCGCGCAGCGACTGCAACAATGTAACTTACGGAATTCTATCTCGCTACAAGTTACAAGATGTATTCAGTTAGTTCACAGACAAAATATGGAAACTTCTTTCATACCAGCGTGATCAGAGGAGACCCTTCTCTTCGACCTTAATTTGCATACAAAAAAATTCACTACTTTGTACGAAAGAACTCTCAAAATGCAGGCGTTAATCGGACTGAAAAGCATATCAGTGTATAGTTTATACACCGATGAGGTCACGGATTGCCTCAAACCCACGGGTTTATTTCTAACTTCCATCCACCAACATCTTAAAAACAACGAAAATCCATGTGATTGGTCAATTGCACTCGTGTCAAAGATCATTTGTATGATTCTGAAATTGACCAAGGTCTCCTTTTGACCGTTCAAACTTCGTTCATTTATCTTCTACGTTGAGGATTTTAGGTTTGTATAGCAACTGTATGAAGAATAGATGCCGAGTTGTCCTAAAACGTTGCGTAAACGTGCGATCGGTCGTAACGCTTGCGCGCTTGCGTGACTTACAAAGTTAACAAAGGTGATCGGAAGGCGCCTTCTCGATAATTTACGTTGAAATATCAGGTCATGAACTACGCACAGTATGGAGAAGATCAAAATTAAATTATCATATGACCTGTTTCGCGGGTTTTACAAGTTGGAACCAAAATTAGTTAATGTAACGAATTAGAGTCGAAAGTTAATAAAATGGACTGAAGAATTTTACATTTTAATGAGAATTTTATCTTTTAAAATGGCTATTTGATTGATGGAAAGCAAAGATTAGGGTGGCTTTGGGTATTTCAGCCCTGATTTGGAAAAAATAAAACAGTTATTGGTATGTTCTAAACATCAGAACACCTGAGAAGACACTGGAAACGTAGTAAAAGTATTTTTTAGCATCCGAAGCGAAAAGAAGAATGTGAGGCAGTGAAAGGAGATTGAGTTTTCAACGCCATTTGTCGTAAAAAGTTGCCACCACTGAGCTTGTTATTGAATTCACTAAAATTTACCCGGAAGGCATTAACTTTCTCTGTTGCGAAACTCGTGGATTTTAATAATTGGAAACAACGTGCGTGAATCCTGGAAACTGGAGTTTGAGTCCATTGGCAAACTATGCCAGTTGGTCTCATGAGCAGATCAAGCGCTGAAGAAATTTGACAGTTGTGAAATTTTAAGCGGATGCAAAAGTCGACACAATTTGTCCTTTGATTTTGTCAAGAGAATTCTGATTTTGTCTGCTAGTGCAGATAGCCCAGATAGGCACTTACGAGTCAATTTTTAGTTAAATAATAGCCTTCACTCTCGAGAAATTGTAAATATATCACCCATATGAGCCGACTACAACTTTAATTCCGAAAACTTCGAAAACATCTCCAGTCAGTCTGGCTTTCTTTCATTGCCTCAAATTTTCCCTTGTGCTGTGGCTGTTAACAAGTACTTTCACCGCATTTCCAATTTTTCCTAAAGTGTTTAGATGTTTAGAACATACCAATAACCGTTACATTTTTTTCCATATCTTGGTCAAAATAACCGGAACGAAACACAGTTAACTTGTACTCGAGGATTCCTGGGATAGCTGGTAGTGCTTCAAATGACTCGATACGTCGTCCCGGTGTCACAGCGGATATGGACCGCCCTTCGCAGATTTGGACCCCCCCACTAAACTTTCCTTTTAGGCATCCTTTGTATCATATTTGGTAACTAATTTTATTTGCAAGCTTTTTGTCGATGTTCTTTTCAATCAACACAACATTCCTCAATAAAGGTATAAAAAATAACAGCCATTTTGTTCCAATCCTACCGCATTTATTATAGCGAGTCGTATAGTATAAGTAAGAATTAGATGTGAACAAAATACTGCATTCGAACTATTGAAATTGTTACAATATATCTTTGCTTCTTCTGATACGAATCAATATTGATGCGAAACGTATTACAATGGTGGAGACTATTGCGTCCAGTCACAAAAAATAACTCAGTCTGATTTTCTAAAATAATAACATTAAACAGTTTCTGAACAAGAACGAAGAAACTACTCCTGCTACAAGTCGTTCGTAAAGCCTATGATAGGTGAAAATGTTTCTAATCTGAACTATTGGAACTCTCAGCTTATTTTCAGATGCAAATCAACATTAATGTAAATGTCTTAACAAAAGTGGAGACTATTACATCGAACTCAATCTTATTTTCTAATTTTAACGATTATTAACTGTTGAGGGATCCGAAATAACACCTTAACAATTACGAAGACGTCTAGAGTCTGGCTCTTCAGACAATGCAGAACCACTCGCCCTCCAGGGCAGTCTTCGCAGCGCATGTGTTACCATTCCTCGCACAACTCGCACTGTACCATGTCGTCCTAACACTGGGGCATTGAACAATGACAAAATAAATATTTTTGTTTATGTCTGTGATTGACGAAATAATTTGTTGTTGTACCTGTTATCATGTCCTATTTTTGCGGTCATTAAACTGTGGTACGGTTCTCGTTGTCAATTCACTCTGATTCCCCTTTATCTGCCTAAAATAAGCTTGACTTTTGGTACATGACTTACAGATTTATTACCAATCAATCATAAACATTACAAATTCCGAGAAAAGGAGAATAGCCCGGTTACGAAAGAAAGGGAAAATTTACATCAAAAGACTGACAAAGGGGGCGTAAATTGTTGAATGGTTGTGATGGGTCGATTTAAACCACAACTTTAAAAGTGTGTGGCTTATTGAACAGCCGATAACAAAATGTTCGATAACAACTTGGGTAGAGAATTAGAAAAAAATAGGAGTTTCTTAAACCAATCACAATGGAGGAAATTGTAATTTTTGTGATTATAACCATTATAAAAATACTAATGTTGACAACGATTATAATAATAAAATTAATAATAGTCATAATGATGATTATGATAATAAAGATAACCTCCTCCAAAGGGAGGTTTTCACTTTATAATAGCCTCTACATGCCTTGCTGTCTTTTTTGAACCAGTTCCAAAAACTTGGTTGCTCAAACGCACATTTTTGATAAAATTAACGAATACCAATACACACTTAAGCATGCAATATGAATTTACATACCCAGTCAACGGTTTGAAAGGAACCTTGACAGAGCAAAACTACCTGTCAGTCTTGACAAATATTGTATTTTTTGTCTACTATGTTTTGGTTTGGTTATGCAAAGCATGGTTTATACTAAAACTGATCAAAAGGGAAGCAAAATTAACAAAACTAACTGCTGGTACAGTGTAACTACTTCACTAAAATTAGCTTTGGAATTCATCGCCTTGTGATCTGATATCTTTTTAGAACATTAGCCGAAAAGAGGAGAATAAAATCATTCTTAAAATCCTGACAACTTGCCGTCACCTACTCCACCAAATCCTCAACGTTTGCGTACAACTGCTTGTCGTAGATTTTCATGTTGATCAGCCTCTGAGGACGAAAGAAAGGTATAAGAGGATTCTCTGATGTCCATAAAGAATTCTTTATTTCTGCATGATCACATCTAAAATGTTCAAACGCTTGGCAGCTAAGGAAACGAAGTCTTCAGTTGTACTTTTTTGGATGATTAAGCAACTCGATGGAGAGAGTACAGGCACATAGTTTCCGAGTTTATCAAGATCACTTCGATGTTATTAATAATTTTACAACTGTATAACTCGACATATTTTATATAATGATCACTCATACTGATAACTGAATGTAAAAAGTTTACCTTGTGTAATGTTTCCATTGCTTTGAGCTGGTTTCTTAGATCAAAGAAAGTTGGTCTTGTACCCGGTTCATCTTTCCAGCATCTCAACATTATGTCATACCTACGTTTCATATAACGCAGGTTGGTACTTGATATATGTAAAGTACATTAAATCAAATTGAAACGAAACACGTGAGTTGTTTTCACGATTAATTCATCGTTATCACACAAAAACGTTTAACTTGCTATTTTCTCGAATGTGGATGTGCTAATCGATATGCTGATATCTTTCAAATTTTAAATAATGAACATCTCCCTGAAGTAAGATTCATTTAATTACTAGAGAAGAAAAAGATGTAATATCTTGAAGCTTTTAATTACTAACTAAATGTACCTTAATAGAATCAAAGGCACAATAACATTTTCAGGTCTCATTAGAGTGTCAGCCTTAAAGAAATTCTAGTGCTTACAACTTATCATCCAGGTGTTGTGGTTTAGGCATTCTGTATCCCTGCTGAAGTAAGTTGGCAATTTTCCGGCCATCCATCCGCGGATACGGTGAACCACCTGATGTAAAGTGACTTTGGAGACTATTGTATCACGAGCATAATTCTATAGCTATGATTATATTTTTATGCGGCAAAATGAATAGATGATCAAAATTAATATATCACATGGAGCGCGTACTCCTAGTCAGGGAGAACACCTTTTTAAGGGCATCTGGCCGTTCCGTACCCAGAAGTTTCGTACCCAGGTTTGAGTCAGTTCGTACCCAAGTTTGAGTCAGTTGAGACTCTCTCTGTTGCGGAGCTAATGAAAAGCATTCAAAACTAATCAATAAATATTACCTATTGTAAAAATCTCATAGAGGACAACTCCATAGCTCCATCTATGAGGCAATAAAACAATGTGGAAAATTCAATAACTTTCGGACATTTTAAAACATTCGACCTTCCTGTTCCTAGATAGTAGTACAACTTTTTAGTGACATAAGTAATTTGATTACACCAAAAAGTTGTGGAACACCATCAATAGATGCCATGAAACTACTGCCACAAGTGCATCTTTATGGCTAAGAAAATAGAAAATGTAGCAAAAATTCATTGCACAGGACTTACACATCACTTTTGGTTGTATATTTTCCATACAACAGCGCCTCATAAGCTGTCCACTTTACTGGAAGGCGGCCCTTAAAATTTTGAATGGAAAAAAATTTAAGTCAAGAATTTAGAGGCCATGGAAGTTAAACAACTATGTGAGACGCTCTTTTATGATATTGAGAATCGCCAGTGTGTAAACCATGCTTCTTTACTTAATGAAGCAAATAATAACTCTGAGAAGCAATTTATTTCCAAGAAACTGCACTTTTCTACTCTGTTCCCTGGGTAACTTCAAAATTCACAAATGCTCGACGTTTAAAAATTTAAGCTGGGACAGCACTCTTATTTACCCAGCGTTTAGAAAGTCTGCTTAAATATATTCCGTAAAACAGTATCAAGATCAGCATTGGTAATTTTCACCACGTTCCTAGATTGGAAATGTCAAATTCTCAGAGTTGCCTTTTAATGGTACTGACGCTTGCGCCAAACCCTCAGGGAAATCCAGAATCGCGCCATTCTGAGTGCTCAAGCTGATCTCTGCTTACTTCCAACTTGGGACAACCATTCCATCCTTTCGAACTGACAGCAAACGATACTTTCTGCTAATGTCGCTCTGCGACTGCCACAGCTGACATCAGTTCACCAAAGCGAGTTCATCGATTACATATTTAAGCATACTGGCTGCTATCCTTGAAAAATGACGAGCACTTTTCACAGCCTTTGCCACTCGTAATCAGCCACACCCTCATTTAAATCATGCCTTAATTGTCTACAAAAGTTTTATTCTCCGAGAACTAAGCCTGTTCTGTAATGATGCAACTCATCTTTCGCTCCCTATCTTACCTGGTCATCGGACAATACCCTAAAAGTTCATCATAGCCTTTACCGTGCTCTGTTCTTTGTAAAGAAAGAAGAAGAAGCAAGAAGAGGCGAAGCACTCAATAAGAGGGGAGAAACACGCGACGTAGTCGGGTGTTTCTTTCTACATTTCTTTCGCGATGTAGCCGCTTCCTGCGCGCTTTGCAACAGAATAGAGCACAGTCATAACAAATACATGTCATGTGATGAAGCAAAGCTTATTTCTTTCTTATTACCTTTGTCTTCCTCTCATAGATATTTTCCTCTTGCACATTTCTAGCCATTCCGAAATCTGTTACTTTACACGTTTCATTTTCTCTGACCAACACGTTACGAGCAGCGAGGTCTCGGTGGATGATCTAACGGGAAGAAGAAAAAATAGACCGGTTTGGGTGTATTGGAAAACCCTCGCAAAACATTCGATCCTTATGCACAAACAAAAACCCTAGCAAAAGAAGTGCGATACAACATTTGGACAATGGACTACGGATCACAATGGACTACGGATCACCATCGAAGCCAAGAAACAGACCATCAATTTCTTAGACGTCACTTTCAACCCAAACAAAAACACCTACCAGCCCTTCACAAAGCCTAAAACCACACTACAATGCGTCCACTGCGAGAGCAACCACCCACCAACCACCACAAAGAACATACAACCGGCATCAACAAAAGACTGTCATCCCTCTCATCCGACAAAGCATCCATCGACTAAGCCGATTCTCCATACCAAAAAGCGCTCGAAGAATGCGGATACCGGTACACTCTACACTACGAATCATCCAAAACTCACAAACGAAACAACAGACAACGGAACAACATACTCTGGTACAACCCCCCTTCAGCAAAAACGTCAGCTCCAATATCGGAAACAGATTCCTTGCCCTTGTAGACAAGCCCTTCCCGAAAGACTACAAACTTAGAAAATCTTTAGTCGTAACACAATCAAGATCAGTTACAGCTGCATGAATAAAACTAAACAGATCATCAACAACCACGACAAATGCATTTTAAATTCATCCAAACACATCAATGACACTGCAAATAACACCAACAAAAAAGGCACCAAAGCTTGTAACTGCCAACAGAAGAACACAAGCCCACTTAACGGAAACTGCCTCCAATCATCTCTTATCTACCAAGCCACCGTCACGCTTAAGGAAAGCAGCACCTACCACTGAAACATATATTGGACTTATGGAAAACGACTTCAAGACTAGTTACAGAAACCACACCGCATCATTCCGGCACTCAACAGACAGAAATTCTATCGAACTCAGCAAACATATCTGGACCCTTAAAGAAAATAACATTGATCATTTTATTTCATGGCGCATTCTTTCATCATGTTAATTTAGAGGGACTGCTTAAAAGTCTCACGGTTCCTCCATCCTCTGGGCTCCAACAATTATTAGACAATAATTCCTTTAAATTTGCCTGTTATTTCCAAATAGTTTTCTTATTTCATCACAATTCTGTCTTTGTGAGACTTTTGTTTCATACAACAAGGCATTCCACGTTTTAGGATATTCCTTCATTTCTTGTTTTTGATATTACGCCATATCGCTGTTGCACCAATTTACCGTTCCATCAGTATAGTCATCATCACTATTTAAATCTGAGTTACCATCAGACAAGTGTCCCGTCTAATGGTAAGAAGATGCAGAGGTATCTTTCTACTACTCGACACTCGAGTACTCGACAGATACGAAACTCCTCAATTACATGTTATGTAAATGTTCAAGTGGCAGAATTACTTCTAGAAAAAAACCTTTCGAACCATTCCTATCTGGTTTAATCTGACAAATAGTTCTAAATATGCGCCAATGTGGCTGCCGGTTACAATTCACTGCTCCTCACCCTCTGTATATTTTTGTTGTTTTCCTCTCTTGCTTGCTTTTATTGTCAACAGAAATCCATTTTTAAAGATCTAAAGTACTCCCGGTTATGAAGCAGGATTTTGGAGTTTAGTTCATCCCACACCGGACAATTTTAAATGCTTTTACTTCAACGTTCGCCTTCACTTCAAGCGTCGACCGCCTGGATTCATAACTGACAAACTTTCGCTTCCAATCTCCAAAACAACAAGGCATGGACTGATCACTTTGGCTCTTCCTCGTTCTTTCTTAGGCATCGATCTTATCGTATGCATGGATGTTCACTGCAATCCCCGTCCTGATCTCGAAAATTCTTTACTTCATCGATCCGCTTTTTCAGACAGAGATTTGCATATTACTGCCGCGTCCAGGAAATTTTATTATTCAAGACAGCAGTTGCTAGATCTGAGAGCTCAATCTAGACTTCAACCCGACCTTTACCAGTTCCTGAATATTCAGGGGATTCTTAGATCACGCCGCACTCGAGCAGGCAAGTCCATAAAGCAATCACGTGGTCTCCACAAAATTAGTCCTGTATGGATTGTTCGTAATCCCTCAACTTTGAAATTAACTGTTGGACCTAATTTAAATAACTTGGTGCTGATCAAACGTCAGGTTGAACTCTTCATCTGCAAATTCGATAAATTTCTGCCTTCTAAACGCAAGAGCCATCAACAAGAAAACATTACAAATTAAAGAATATGTGGTAGACAAAAACATCGACATTCTTGCTTTAACAGAAACTTGGCTTAAACCGGATGAGTGCTCCGACTACATCATTCGTGATATCAGTCCCATTGGATAAGCTTTTGTTCATACACCAAGACCTAATGGTATATTAAATCCGATCCGTGTAAATCGTTTGAATTTAAGGAACCACTGCTTCACTCTTCCCCATCCATCATACGTATCATCATTATTTACCGTCCTCCAAATTCTGTCAAGAACGTTCTTACATGTGCTACTTTTTTTTTATGATTTTCCTTCGCTGCTGGAGAGGCTAGTGTCTTCTCTTGGCTATCTTCTTCTAGCCGGTGATTTCAATTTTCCTGTCAACGATCCATCTGACAACACCACCAATAGGTTTCTTGACCTCTTAAACTGTTTCAATCTGGAAATCCGTAATGTGTACCCCCCGACACATAAAAACAAAAACGTCCTGGACCTCATAATCATTGGATCCGGCGAAGCGACCGTCTTAAATTTATCAGTGAATGACCCGGTTATCTCTGATCACTTCGCTGTTCATTGCACCTTGGCTATCACGAGACAACCTAAGCTGGGCTTACCCTCACATCGCGTAAAATGCGCACCATTGATCCAGACAATCTACGGTGTGACATTCGTTCCTCTCTCTCTTATACAACTCACCGTCTCACTACGTTTCATAACATTAGATAAAATAAATAGATCAAATCTACTTACTGAGGTGAAACCATTTGAAAACCATGGTTAGTTCGTTTTCTACTTTGCAGCGATACCAACCAAGGGTGGACTCTTTTACTTGAAAAATCACTTTACTGGGATTATCTTCAGAATTCCAATTCATGACGACATCGTCCTTTGTCCGGGTAACTGTTGGTGTTGGGTAACCGTCTTTATAACAAGAAAAGCTAACCTCTTCTCCAGGTTTCTTACTAAATGTTTGATTTCCAGGGTTTGTAATCATCGCTGGATCTTTGATTGAAAAAACAAAACAAAACAAGAATAAGAAGAAAAAATGTAGTATTTTTCATTTTGTGTAACAAGCATACTCAGCAAATGAAAATCCAATTGCTCCAAGCTGTAGGACGCATGTTCTAGTACTGAACTGTGGGAGACTCGTGGTAGTTCAGCCAGAAAACTACATGTATGTTTTTAAAGCTAATTTTTACTCCACCGAAGTGAATAAGAGTTTTCATGACAAATGCTTTGTCATACCTAATGCAAAACTGATTTGATGTGAAATTCAGCCCTCGTAACTTATCTAAAGAAAAGTTTGAAGTGAACAATGTCGCAAAAACATTTCTCTGGTGATATGAGTTCCACAGATTTGAAATCTTCAAATGTAGAATCGATTCCCTTGCTTTTAGGATCATTTTTCACCCTATGGTAGATTTTCAATTTTATAGAAGATTATATCAACCACAGAGATGGGACTGAGTTAAGTTCAGATCGGTAGACGAATTAACAGAAAAGAGCAAAAGGTAGTCTCATCACTTTTCTCGGAATATTTATTTTTTCTTGGAATATATATATATATATATATATATATATATAACTGCAGACAGTACTGTTTCGGCCTTCTGGGCCTCATCAGTGCAGTGCTGATGCTAGGATGGAGGTAAGACCATATAGCCACCCCAAGTGATCTCAGATATGTGGGATCATCTAAGCCATGCCAGAGTGCTCAAACTAGAAAAACTAGTGAGCATGCATAATGCTAGCAGCAATGACTCATCCTAGTAGAGTGCTCAATTTGGACATGAAAGCAAAGCTAAAAGTACTAGTTTTTTAAGTGACTATTAGAACGTACTAGGAAAGAAAATTGCAAAAAGAAAAAAAACCCACTCATGAAGACCATTTAAGTGCTCGTGTCCCCAACCTTCTTTTCGGGTTTCTACCCCACGTCTACTTCTATATTTAGAATGCATTTATATGTAACACATGCATTCTTGGTTGCGGGTTTTCTTAAAATTTGTCATTGTTTGATATAATATGCAAAGCAATGCTTTCGCAGTATTTTTATCGGGTGAAGGTTTTTGGTATTTGTTCTACAAGGCATGTCTATTAAACGTATCGATTTTACTTTGCAGAAGGATTTTTAAAAACTTAAAAGTAATAATGATAGCGAAAAAATTTATCGGTTTCTAATTGGCCGCTTTAAAATAATTGCAGAAAACCACGTCTGAAAAATGTTTGGAATTGAACCTTTTTTTTTTTTGATCAGGCAGCGGCAATTCACCGTTTTCATAGGCCATTGCAAACGAAAAATATGAGAAAATATGGCGTCCAGCAACCGTAACATTACATATTTTTTCCGTCCTGTTGGAGTGAGACATTCGGATATCTAGGGCGATTCGGTGGACACCGGGCAAACCGCGACAATTTCTCATGTAGGCCACGTTGAGAACGAGGAAGCAAACACACCACTCGCTTTGTCTCGTTCACACGGAGTCTTTAACTTGCCATCATATCCAGACATTGGAGTGCTTAGTCATGATGAATTGAAGAATGAGAAAGTAAGAATTGAGTTGCCTCACTGAGGCATGGCCAGATTGTCAAAAGTTCCAGATTTCGGCCACATGTACTTGTAATAAACAAAGAAAGCTGAATCCCCAATGGCTAATGACTAATGACTCGGTAGTGTGCGTTTATTGTGCGTTGTTTGGCCAGCAGGAAAAAGTGTCTCAACAGGAAGGATCATTTGTTTCTATCAAGGGTGTGTCAGACTGGTCTAACATTGGGAGGCTAGTCAAGTTACACACCTGTGAGTTGTCCCCCCACCATGACGCTGTTATTAAGGGTGATAATTTTGTACACATTTCAAGCGGCAACCAAAAAGATATTTACAGTCATCTCGCCTCAAAAATTAGTAAAACTGTTGAAAGAAATCGGCACATCCTTCAAGCAATCATTGATATAGTATTGCTATGTGGCAAACAAAATTTTGCGCTAAGAGGACACAGGCAAGAAAACAGAAATTTTCCTACCCTCTTTCAGTTTAGAGCCAAGACTGATCCTGTGCATGCAGGTCACTTGAATAGCGATGAAAGCAGAGCAATTCCAAAGTACACTTCGCCGGATATCCAGAATGAGCTCATTGAACGTTGTGACGATTACATCCGTAAGTTATTGTTACAGAACTGCAGTAGTGCCCCCTTTTTGCTCTCTTGGCAGATGAACTACAGATTTTGGAACAAAGGAGCACATCTCAATATGTACCAATCAATTTCGTGCACAGAAAGGAAGGAGAAAACAAGGAAGGGGTGAGAGAGGACTTTCTAGGGTTCTTAGAGGCAGAAAGCCCGAAGGGAGTAGCACCAACTGAAAATTTCATGAACACCCTTACTGACTTTGGAATTGACATCCATAAAATGCGAACACAAAGATATGACAATTCTGCAAATATGTCAGGTGTACACAGAAGAGTACAGGCCGTCACACGACAACAGGTACTAGAGGCAGCGTATTGCCATTGTAAGGCGTACTCCCTTAATCTTGCCATTGGTGACGCTTGTGGGGAGCCCTTGATACGCAATATGTTAAGCACTATACAAACCATCGCGTTTGCATTGGACTATTCAGCAAAGCGACTGCTGGCCTTTCAGGAGTCTCTTGATCAGAACGCCTAAGTCCGAGAAGAAATGAATAGGTGTGCAAAGCTTCGAACTTTGTGACAAGATGGGCGTGTAGGGCTGATGCTTTATACATCTTCCGTGCAGCTTTCCCAGTCGTCGTTCAGGCGCTCGAGATCTTGTCCCAGGATGGCGATGTTAAGGTAAGGGGCTACTTATGCTCTGACGAGCAGTTTGATTTTATTATTACTCTATGTGCAGCTGAGCACGTCCTTTCCAACAAAGTTGCCTTGTCAACTATGTTTCAAGGAAATAATGTAGATCTCATCGAGGCAGCCCAAGAAGCGAGAGTCGTCATAAATATCATAAAAGCTGAGCGAGGCAATCCGTCGATTTGGAAGGAATTGTTTGTGTAGGGGAAACAAATTGCAGCTGAGTTTTACATTGGCCATGCATTCCAAGAACAACTGCAAGGCAACAACACAGGGTGAATGTCCCAACCACAAACCCAGAGTCCTACTGGCAAAGAGCTGTGTACCTCCCTCCTACTGATCATCATATTCAAGAAATAAACGACAGGCTCTTATCGCGGGAGGATCGCTTCCTAGCCCAGTATCTTCTCCCAATAAACTTGCAAGGATTTGGTAACGACGTCCAGAGTAAGATGTATAGGGTGTACTCAAGAGATCTGACTGACAAGAGAGAGCACGAGAACGAGATGTTGCGGTGGAAAACAAAGAGGCCGCATTCAACCGAAGAACGACCAACGACTCTGGCTGACACTCTCGACTGCATAAAATATAACTCTTTATCGAAAGGTTAACACCATCCTCACGATCCTTCTCACGATGCCTCTGTCAACTGCAACTCCTGAGCGAAGTTTTAGTCTGATGCGTAAAGTCAAGACGTATCTAAGGGCAACCATATGGACGGAGCGACTCTCAGCCCTTGCTCGCGTACAATGACATAGCCATTGACGGGGAGGCCGTGGCTCGTGAGTTTTGCGGCAAGAAAAATAGGATGCCATACTTTGGATTCTACAAAGCTTTACTTCAGATACTTAGCTCGGCATTCAGTCCAGTAGTCCTGGGTTGTACAGTACAATTCGTTATAGCTTCAAATCAGATCTCGTTTAGTTGCTAAGAATTCATTAATAAAGTTCTTTATCTTATATGTTAGCCACCTTGAGCGGTAATAAAGCATGAGTTGCACAAATCGTAGGCCTACTTGACTTCCCCGGCCTTCCCCGACTGCACTATACTTATGTGATATGGAACAGGCCTACATGCCAAAAATGACTTGCTGCGTCCCTGACAGACTTAATTGGAAGACACATAACGACACATAAATTTTCACTCACGGCGTTTCAGAGGTATTCGCACTGCGTACGTTAACGCGAAGTTTCCACCTTCTTCCTTTTTCGCATTCGCGTTCATCCTTTCTTCCGTGCGAAGCTCGAAAAGAGAATGGCAAAAATGAAAACATGAAGTGAAGATTTACTATGAACGAGTCCGTCGTTTTTCAGTATATTTCGTCGGCTGGCCAAACGTTCACTCTTCCAAATTCGCGCGGCAGTTGATTTGCTTTATCCAAATTCACGAGAGTTTCTCCATGATCGACAGCGCAAAACAAAAAAAGATAGCTAGAAAACTAAGGTTTCGAATGGCTACTCAGTTACACAAGATCTAACCCAGGCAGCGATTTTACGCAGGTAAGCATCGGGGATTCTCCATAACAGGGTTAATTTAATTAAATGCATGTCATCTCATCTTTAGCTTTCGGCTCTCTTGACAATGTTCATATAAATAAACGTTGAGATAACAGGTTCGGATAAATTGAAAATGGACAGTTTTGTTCAAAAACGTCTAAACTTTGCTTAAAAAACCGGCCCTGGGTCTTCAGTGGTAAAATGTTGTCTCTACTTTACACCAATATAATAACCTGGTTCTATGGATATAGTACCTCGTCTAGAGCGCCTTGAAAGTGATCTGAATAGTAGCGGAGGCTCGAAAGAAATGAAGTGTTGAAAGAATCGCAGCAACTCCATGAGCAGATCTTGACAAACTGAAAGTGCTGGCCAATTTCGTTCCAGCTGCGATCCCCAAACACATGAAGGGTGTATTAATTATGGTGGTAATGGAAGTTTTACAAGCCCCTCTTGTGAAGCCTAGGAATGAAGTTTATACCCGTCATGAACTTGCCACAAGACACTAACATTCACCCCTTTGTTCAACTGTATATACAGCTATCAATCAAACACCATGCGAGCGCTTTTTTAATTTCTCTCGATAATCCTACCCTTGTGCCAGCTACACCTGGACTCATCTTCGTGAAACGTCAGGTTCGCGCCGACAAAATGAAACCTTAGGTCGATGAAGTGGAATTGCTCCAGGCAAACCCCTACTACGCCCATGTTCGGTATCCTGACGGAACGGAGACTACAGTGGCCAAACCGAGTTGCCACAACCTCTTTTACCACCTGGACATGCTCTAAAAGCGACGGATAACACGTCCCATGAGGAGGGCAATACTGAATCACGCATGACTGTACCTATTCGCCGATCTGAACGGGTCCGTCGTTCAGTGGCCAGACTTAATCTTTGAACAGATGATTGTTGTACACCGTAATTATAATACTCCGTGCGATTAAAATACCTCGTGCAAAGAACTTGGAATCTGCATAATTTTAGTTTTAAAAGATTCGTGTATGTCTTTTGTGTTTATTCGTTTCTATGGCTCATTGATTCATTTTTGTATGTCGCTCTTCTAAAAGTTGTATATTTAGGAATCAGAGTATTAAAACCTTACGTCTTCAATGGTAAACCGTTGTCCCTACTTTACAACATACAATTCCTTTGCTGTGGGAAAGAAAAGTCTCTTTCCATAAAGAAGTGACAGAATCTTTAACGAATCTTGACTGTTCTCTGAACCAACCTGTAACGCGACTTAAACATAAAAGACTTTACTACCCGCCCCATCTCCATCTGTATCCCTCCTATGAACTCTTTCCTCGGCATTAGCAGAATCGTCACCGATGTCCTTCGTGAGCCAAATGTACGTTTAAGTATCATTAAAAAAATTGGGCAAGCAGATGAAAGTAATCTAAGATAATTTGGTTTTATCAGCTAAGTTGATGACGTGAAATGGCCACAGTAGAGAGATCCTAAAGTTCACATTTCGACCACTTTGTGAGGGCAAATCGTAACACCATTATCAAGTCGTCTTTATGATCCTGAGCGGGATCATAAATTATTTCGAGAACTGATGAGAAACCGTTGCCAAAATGTAACAAAAAACAAGATTTCTGAACTGAAAAGACATCAAAAAGGGGAAAGTATTCGACTACAAATAATAATACTCAGCGTATAACTATTTTACCTTCATACTTACAGTTTACTATGATGCTGGCTGTAGCCGTAGCAGGTGTCCCCACTCCATTACTAGCTATGCACTGATACTGGATTGTGCTGTTTGCTGTCCTGGGTCTGGTTGCATTTACAACAGTAAGAAGCGAGGCATTAGATAAAAAAGTCAGAACTGCCAACCTTAGTCCATTTTATGTTGGGATTTGGTTTGCCAGACGCAGCACATGTCAAATTCAAGTTGCTCCCTTCGACGACGGTTTTCACTTCTGGTGAAACTGTGACGTTTGGAGCATCTGATAAAAGATAAACTTCCTGATGAATACCAGTAAAATTACGATTTCATATGAGAAATTATGATTATCATACTAGTTATAACCATATCAAAAGGATTATATTTTTCCATGAAATATAAAAGAACTACATTGATCATTTTAATGCTGTGAATAACCAGAAGCACATCGCATTTGAGCACTCGTAACTCAGCAGTTATGAGCCAATTTTCATGACTTTACAAGACAGTACTATCAAATGTATTGGAAACATCTAATAAGATGTAAAACATCTCACCATTGCCATGGGAATGAAGACCAGAAAGGCACGGTCAGTTGTCTATACCAAGGCGAAATTAGCCTGCGGAGCAGGCGTAAATTGGCAAGCGAGAGCTCAGTATTTCCTTAGCGAAAATTATGGCCGCCACCCTTGATTTTAATGGCAGCGAAAAAATGGGAAGAGAAAGAAATTTGTACCAGGGCAAGTGACATTGTCCCCGCCCCCTTAGCAGAGGGGCATTTTGCAGCGCATGCGCCAATAGAATTTTGTTCGGCGCGTTCGGCGCCATTTTGATATTTTCAGTGCGTTTCCGCGGGATCGACACCTTTTTGTGATATGTTTTGGAGAGGGATGAAAGAGAACGACAAGTCTACCACTATTTCTAGCTCTGTGGATACTCGTGGTTTTTGCTGGCCCCTCGGATGAGGATATGTTAATGATCAAAGTGCGAACAAAACGCGAACTAAGCCCGAAAACCTGAAGTTTGAGATTTGATTTACTGAAGATCAAGATGTGCAGATGAAATAGCAAACCTTGAAGGTTAGTTTTAAGAGGTTGATGTTTTACTTGTAAAAATCACAAAGTTGTATGTGAAGATGATCGTGAGATATTTGATCCGATCATCAGGTGGCCCTCGAGGTTCAAATCACTTTAAATAACATCGTCTTTTCTTTCTCTTAGTATTCACCTAGGACACGAGGCTTTCAAAAATTGTCCCAGCTTCAGGATTGAGTTGCTCTTACTACAACCTTCGGCGAACTCGTTTTTAGGAGGTTGAGGCGGATTTTCCAAGTCATTGCTCACAACTGTCTTTGACCCTTTTGCTCTCCAAGTCTGTTGAACATGGTAGGTAGGCATGTGTCCTAGCAACGGTATAGTTTCGTGTTAATCAACTCTGGCTTAAGCTTAATTTTTCCTGAGTTTTCTCAATTTCTTTTATGGGCTTCAGGTGCTAAATGGAGGAAAAACTTCGATAGAACTTATTTATCTCACTCCCCGCAAATCCCTTACCACTGTCAGGCAATTGTTTATTTATTTGGCTTTCGGTCTAATTATTCCAATTGCCTCTAAAAAATGCGTAGACTCTTCCTCACGAGTTTAAACAGGTGACGCTCTCTTCATGTTCATAAGCTTTACGAAATGAATGACGTCATTTTTATTCTGTAATGTCTAGTTCAGTTGTAAGCTTCTGCCTTGCAAAATAAGTTTTATTTCAAAGTTTTAGACGAAGCTTGAAGACTAACTTAATCAAACTTGCTGTCTTGCAACAAATGAACAAGTACTCAATTATCATTTTCCTTCCCTTTTTCTAATGTCTAACTGAACCTTTTTCAACATTTATTTCAGTTTTAAAACTACTATGCTTGAACCTTATAATCAATTCTTCAATGGATTTAATAAAAAAAATACTTGTTTGATTAAAACAAAGTACCATTTTACTTGTCTGTTGGCACAATCAATACAGCTGCAAATGATGGATGCATATCATGGTGTTGTGTGAGGTGGTCTTCAAGGTCTCTTACAGTAAAGAAACCCAGGTCTGAAATGATTTTAGTTTTCTACAAATGTCTATCACTTTGTCCATGCTAAAGGAATTGCCTGACTTACAAATTTGGTAGCTGAACTGGCAGGTCGAAAGAGTTATGTAACTGATTTCTCTTTATCATGGCATTAGTATACCTAGGTATAGTGAATAAAGGGGTAAGTTTCTAAAGAAACTGTAGTGCTGCGTCGGTGGGAGAGTATAGCAGGTAATTTAGTGTTAACAACTGGGTTGAAAACGTAAATTAGCCACCGTAAAGGGTAAAAAAGCTGACGTTTCGAGCGTTAGCCCTTCGTCAGAGCGATTAGAGGAATTGTGGGTTGTGTGTGGATTTATATGTAGAAAGTGGAGCTACGCCATTGGTGGGAATGTGGTGACGAGAAAACAGGAATAAATGAGTTGAATGAAAAGCGCTCGTTGATTCCGTGGGGATTAAGGGTGCCGATTTGGAATATAAATTTTTGTTCTAGTGTTTTACGGCTTTCCGAACTGCCTAGATGTAAGGAAAGGCCGCAAACTGCCATATGCTGTTTAGAATGATAAGGAAGATTAAAGTGTCTAGCGACTGGTTTGGATGCGTCCTTGTCATTTCTTTCCACATCGCGAAGGTGTTCTCGGAATCGGTCACCCAGTCGTCTTCCTGTTTCGCCGATGTATAACTTATTGCAATAAGTGCAAGTTATGCAGTAAATAACATTGGCGGAGGTACACTTAAAGTGATCAATGATCTTAATGGATCTTTTGGGTCCCGATATTTTCTCTACGTTATGAATGAAAGGACAAGTTTTGCATCGTGAGCGAGCGCATTTAAAAGTTCCAGATTGGTCATAGGTTTGAAATGAACTCCTGACTAAAAAGTTGCCTATGTTTTTGTCACGTTTGAATGAAATAAGTGGGGGTTGCGAAAAGATAGTGCCAGTCTCTGAATCGTTTTGGAGTAATTTAAAATTTTTAAGAATGATAGATTTAACTGCGTGGTTGTGAGGGTGAAATGTAAGAGTAAATGGAATGCGGTCAGTGTTCTCCTTCTCGGCCGTTTGTAGTGCTGCCTGTCGATCGATTTGTTGGGCACGGTGGTAGCCCGCTTGAACGACAGAAACAGGATAGCCGCGTTTATCGAAAAACTGGGACATTGCCTCTGATTTTTCGGAAAAATCAGAGTCGTCACTACATAAACGACGAAGTCTGAGAAACTGTGAAAAAGGTATGGAGTTCTTGACGTGTGATGGATGTGAGGATGAACACAACAAGTAACTATGTGAATCTGTAGGTTTGTAGTAAACACTAGTACATAAGCCGTTGCCTTCAATTGAAATTTTGATGTCTAGAAAAGCCAAAGAAGTGTCGGAAATTTCCCAGGCATATTTAAGAGCCGGATGAAAGGAATTGACGGCGGTTATAAATTGAGTGAGCTCCTCCTTGGTAGAGGAGGTAGCGCCGATGCAATCGTCAATGTAGCGGCCGTAGAGTTGAGGTTTTGGGCCGTGGTATTGGCTAAAAATTGATGTGCGATAAAACCTACAAAAAGATTGGCGTAGCTGGGTCCCATTTTAGTACCCATGGCCACGCCATTAGTTTGTTTGTAGTAGTTACCACCGAATGAAAAACAATTGAGTGTGAGTACTAGTTCGGCCAGACGGAGTAGTGTTTCAGAGCCAGGTTCCTTAACAGTGCGTAGATCAAAAAAGTGTTTGAGGGCCTGGAGACCTTCGTCACTGGGAATGACAGTGTAAAGAGATGTTATATCCATGGTGAAAATAAGTTTGTTTTGGTCGAGGAAACTAAAGTCACGAAAAATTTCAAGTGCGTGTTGGCTGTCCTTAATGTAAGACGGTAGAGTTTTGACGATAGGTGCCATAATTTTGTCTAAATAGCTGGAAATAAGTTCAGTGGGACAACTGCAGGCAGAAACGATGGGTCGACCTGGGTTGTTAGGTTTGTGGATTTTAGGTAAAAAGTAAATACATGAAGTTCTAGGAGTAGTAATGATGAGATTTTTAGCAGTGGCCGGTAATTCTTGTTTAGCTATAAGATCGTTAATCGTATTTTTGACAATTTTTTGGTTAATTAAAGTGAGGTCTTTGTCGACTTTGGCATAAAAGGAGGTGTCAGAAAGTTGCCGCAAAGCTTCTTTTTGATAGAGGTCGGTCCGCCAAACAACAACTGCGCCGCCTTTGTCGGCCGCCTTAATGACAATGTCTTTGCGTTTTTTTAGACTTTTTAGTGCCGACCACTCTTCCGAAGAAAGATTGGAAAATTTGGTGTTACGATTGAATTTAAGTTTGTTGATATCGTGGCGACATTTTTTGAGGAAAAAATCTAAAGATGAGAACTGGCCCTCTGGGGGAGTCCATTTAGACTTTCGAATCTGGAGTGTTTCGAAAGTATCGTTGTTCGAGGTGTTAGAATCATCCTCTTTGTCATGAAAAAAGGCTTTCAACTGAACGCGGCGAAGGAATTTTTCAACGTCTTGCTTAACTGAAAATTCGTCGGTTTTTTGTGATAAGGGAACAAAATTTAAGCCCTTGCTGAGAACTGATTTTTCTGAATCGGAAAGTAGTAAATTTTCTGGAATGGTAACTACAGTCTTGAGGTTTATAGGCGATGAGTCGTTAGTAACTTGAGGGCCGATAAGTTGGTCGAGTTTTTGGGCCTTAATTTGGTGCAAATGTTTAAAAAGTTTAGAATTGGCATCCTGAATTTTGGCACGAATGGATTGTACTAAAACAGCTGGACAGATTTTGGAAAGTTCAGAGTGGCAATGTAGAATTTGTTCGGTGAGTTTGTTACGTTTTTGGCACATAGCTCTGATTGTGATTCTCATAATATTACGTGAAAAAGAATTTTGGGCGCACTGAATTTGGTGACGATATTGATTCGAATGAGAAAAAGAAGATGTGTGAAAATTGGAGCGAAAACCCTTAGGAATAACTTAGGAATGAAGGCAACGGCCGATGAAATGGATGTGACTACAAAACCTAGTTTTGGCGAAAATGAGAACGGCTAAACAGGATGCTAGATCTTTACTAATAGGGGGGAAAGGAAAAAGGTAACTTACGATTTCCTGGCGTAGCTCCTTGGTAAGTTTCTTCAAGCTTGGCATTAAAAATTTTAAATTACTCCAAAACGATTCAGAGACTGGCACTATCTTTTCGCAACCCCCACTTATTTCATTCAAACGTGACAAAAACATAGGCAACTTTTTAGTCAGGAGTTCATTTCAAACCTATGACCAATCTGGAACTTTTAAATGCGCTCGCTCACGATGCAAAACTTGTCCTTTCATTCATAACGTAGAGAAAATATCGGGACCCAAAAGATCCATTAAGATCATTGATCACTTTAAGTGTACCTCCGCCAATGTTATTTACTGCATAACTTGCACTTATTGCAATAAGTTATACATCGGCGAAACAGGAAGACGACTGGGTGACCGATTCCGAGAACACCTTCGCGATGTGGAAAGAAATGACAAGGACGCATCCAAACCAGTCGCTAGACACTTTAATCTTCCTTATCATTCTAAACAGCATATGGTAGTTTGCGGCCTTTCCTTACATCTAGGCAGTTCGGAAAGCCGTAAAACACTAGAACAAAAATTTATATTCCAAATCGGCACCCTTAATCCCCACGGAATCAACGAGCGCTTTTCATTCAACTCATTTATTCCTGTTTTCTCGTCACCACATTCCCACCAATGGCGTAGCTCCACTTTCTACATATAAATCCACACACAACCCACAATTCCTCTAATCGCTCTGACGAAGGGCTAACGCTCGAAACGTCAGCTTTTTTACCCTTTACGGTGGCTAATTTACGTTTTCAACCCAGTTGTTAACACTAAATTACCTGTTAGGTATAGTGATGTTGAGGTCTTGTAACTGAATGGGAATTTGAAGGGTTCCTGCCAGAAAATCGAGTGCAGCAAGAGCTGCAATTACAGTGCAGGCAATACCACCACTTAGTCTTCCACCAATGGAGGACGGCAAATTTCTGAGGGCAGTAGCCACTCAGTTACATCAAGATGTAGGAAGGAGTAGTCTGAGAATCAACGTTCAATTTCAATGCTTTGACGATCTCTCTAAGTGGCGATGTTCATCCTTTGCCAGGGCCGATTAGCAGAAGCACTTGTAAGATTCCTGTCAGATGTACTGACCGAAAAAAAGAGACCACTAGCTGCTCTTGCACATGTGATGAATCGAACTGCATAAAAGTTAATTTCACAACATTCTAACTCGTCGTCGCTGACGTCGTCGCAGTCATTATATTATTTTATCTGTTTATGGAATGTACGATCTGTTAAAAACAAAGCACTGTCGCTCAGGAACTACACCGTTGAGCGTGATCTTGACATCCTTACCTTAACAGAGACTTGGCTTCACTCAGGGAAGAGTGACAATCTTTTTGTTGGCGAGTAAAAGGATGCCTGAAAGGATATATTTTCTATCATACTCCTAGAGAGAACTCAAGAGGCGGTGCAGTTGGTATTCTAGTTGAGAAATCAGTCCGAGTTAAGAAGCTGTGTTCAGCGAATTTTAGTTTCTTTGAGAGTATGCTTGCGCTTGCTGAATATCCCATCGGAAGCATAAGATTCGTTGTCATTTACCGACCTCCATTGATGGCAAAGCCCTGCGTTGGTTTAAGTCCTACCTTGAGAATCGTAAACAAGTAGTCAGTGTTAAGGGAGCAACATCGTGTAGCAAGGACTTGCGGTGTGGCGTGCCCCAAGGATCTGTGCTGGGGCCTATATTTAATTTGTTGTATACGTTCCCGCTTGGCGACATTGTCTGAAGTCATGGCCTATCATGTCATTTTTACGCTGATGACACCCAGCTTTACTGCTCATTCAAGCTTCATGATGAAGCAGCTTCTGTGCAAGCAATTGAGTCATGTTTAAATGATACTGATACATGGATGCTTGCGAACATGTTAAACCTGAACAGAGATAAAAGCGAGCTCCTTGTAAATGGACCAAAGCACAAAGTCAACCCACCTATTAAAGGTATTCATGTGGCTGGTGAATACATTGAAGTCTCTAATAATGCTAGAAAAATAGGTGTAATTTTTGATTCCCATGTCAACTTAGAGAAATATGTTATAAACACCTGCAAAACGGCCTTCTATCATTTACGAAATATAGCAAAGATAAGAAACTGTCTCTCTCAAGATAATGCTGAGACACTTGTTCATGCATTTATTTCATCTAAACTGGATTTCTGTAATGCCCTTCTACTTGGCTTACCCCAATCGGCTATTGATAGGCTACAATATGTTCAAAATTGCGCAGCTCGACTGGTGACTAGAACGCGAAGCTTAGAACATATAGCACCAGTTCTTCGTAGACTACACTGGCTACCGGTCAGACAACGAATTACATACAAAATACTACTTCTTACGTACAAAGCACTGAATAACATGGCGTCAAAATTTATGACAGATCTCCTTCAGCCCTATACTCCAACGAGGCATTTACGATCTTCTTCAAAAAATCTCCTTGTGACACCAACAGACCTTTTCAAGTTGCTGCGCCCAGGCTCTGGAAATCCCTAACCGATGACATACGATCAATCCAGAACCTTCATATTTTTAAGATTTAGATTAAAACACTACTTTTTAGAGAGGCTTTTGTTTGTTAGTTGACTGCCCCTTTTTCTTTTCATTGTATATATTTTCCTTAGTTAATCTTAGCAATTCGATTGTATCTTATTTTTTAGAAATTAATTTCTACAACAGTTATATATTTTCTTTAATAACTCATATGTTTTTTATTCCTTAGAATTACGATTATTGTAAAGCGCCATTGAGCTCACGGAAATGGCGCTATATAAATTCTTGTATTATTATTATCATCATCATCATCATCATTATTATTATTATTATTACTATTGGAATCTGGTCTTGGTAATGAAGCTGACTGGTTTTTGCCAGTTCTGTGAGTGCGCTCATGCTGGTTGGCTGTGTGCCACGAACAAGGACAATTTGAGCAACCGATGTCATCACTGACTGTGCATAAACCACTTTCACAGAAATAACATTTAACCTGTGCATTGTTAAGCCTCTTGTGTCCAAGAACAGGATGGTGACATTGTCTACAGTGGGGAGGTGCCTTATTGGGTGAAGGTGTGGTTTGGTTGTAAGTTTGACTCTAGCTAAGGTTGGAAGACGTGAGTGGTTAGGTTGCTGGATTAAGGTGGACATGAGTTGGAACACTTGTGTTGCAACTGTTGTTTGAGGAGAATAGACTCTGTCCCGGACTCTGGGAGATTTTTATAAACATGGAGGACAGTGCTTGGGCACATTTTACTATAAGTGAGCGAAGTTGGTTGTGTGAGAAAGAAAACTGCCTAGGTGTGGTGAAAAATGACCTGTAGTGAGACTGTTTATCCTCTGACTGGAAAAGTTTCTAAGTTCATCAGCAGTATCAGAGCCTTTTGTCTGTGAACGGAGTATGCTATGGATGTTTTCCACAGAATATTCATCAAAAATGGCGATGCAATTCCTTGTTAGGTTCTACAGTTGTGAAGCATGTTTTCCCCAGTGAGAGCACCTGTTGATCCAAAGAAGTGGTGCATTGTTGTAGAGCCGGCGTTGGAGGCAAGTAAACATAATCCAAATTCTGATCATTGCTCTAAAATACTCAGAGAAACTGTTAAGTTTGAAAGAAATGCTATATATCGACAACACCAAAGGTATTCAGCTGTCTTGTTAGCTGAATATGGTCCCATACTCTGCATCTTTGAACCAGGAGAACTTTGCCGTTACAGTGCGGTGTATAGGTGTTCAAGCACCATACACAATCTCGAAAATCATACTAATTCTCCAGGTTTGGGATTATCTGCCAATTTGCTTTTTGGGAAAATTGTTTCATATAATGTTTTGAAAAACGGATGATAGGAATTAACAATATGTTCTCTGCTGTTTAAGGAGATGTGAAGTGGCTCAATACTTAGCACTATTGACAGAATGGATGACTGTGATGTTTCTTGTGGCAAGCTGTTGTTCAAAAGATTGTCAGTAGTTCGAGATGCCATTGGAAAAGAATATGAGGAATGATCAGTTAAAATATAGTCCTGTTACAGAGGAGTGTCTGAAAGTCTTGGATGAGAGCCAACAAACTTCTTAAGTGATTTATATGTGATTTGCCAACAGTAAAATTGGCATGGCCGATCCCCTGGCTGAAAAAACAATAAATTTCTTTACATAGGCAGCCAAGCCAGTGTGCATTGCCTCATCATATGCAGTATCAAAGTCCCTCTTTGACTTCAGTCTCTATTCTACAAAATCTAATTGGTGCAAATCATCCGTTTTGTGCACATTTTGATAGCAAATTGACATTGTCACAGCATTGACGAATGTTGATTCTATGTCTCTCAAATTCAGGATTAAAAAATGCTTTTGTGAGCCAGTCAGGCATCGCTGAAGCATAACTTTTACTGATGTCGTGCATGGATGATGCAGCAGTAATTAGTCGTATACATAATTCGATATGTATACTATTTTGGTCATGTGTACAAAGGGCGTGTGTTACAGGTACAGCTTGAATATCTTTAAAAGTTTTACATGTAACAACTATTGTACACATGGTCTTTGCCTCTGACAATTTTTGTTCTTCTGGCCTTCTTTTTGTGAGAATGGCTGTGAAATCATCAATTATCAGCACTATCAGCCATTTGCGATCTGCAGCTGTGGTTATAAAATCTTCAAAAGATTTGATATTAGGCTGTGACATTTTGTGCATGACATTATTAAGTTCTTCTGGAACATGTATGCTCCATGATATGTTCTGTTTTAATGCCTTCTTGATTTATCATATTACTCCTGAGATAAAGAGCAAGGTCCATTTGAAGAGTATTGCATGTTTGGCTGTGGCAGTAGCACAAATTATAAACGGATGAAACAACCCTTTTTTTGTCTAGATATATGCCGTCTGTTGAATGCCGGAAACTAGTGACTTAACCCAGAACAGTGTTGAATAACTTTGTTGCACCTTCTGATATGCAAAACTCTCTGAAACCGTCTGGATCATACACTGTTTCTGCCTTGTTAACTACCATGCCAGCATAAATCTTTTTCTTAACCAATGCTATTTTTGCAGTCATGTCACATCTTACAGTGGGTGGAAAATAAAATTTGCATTCAAGTGAAATTTCAATTTCATATCGTTGCAAGTCAGTATAATTGGGGTTCATGATATAAAAGCCTTTTGGTAGTTCTCAAAAACAAGTTTCTTTACTACTTCTGCCACAATGTATGATATCACAGAAAGGTTAACAAAACTCTCTTCATTATTTTGATTAGCTCACCTAGTTTTATTCAGCCTTTTTCCTCGGGAATACAGGCTATGGAAAGAAGTTTGACTTCCATTCTCAATGATACCATCAGTCGTACAAGTTCTTTTTTATTGCCTGCAATAAGTCTCGTCAGACCATCAGATTGTTATAGAATGCTTGTTATTTAAAAAGGTTGAAAAAGAAAGTTGCCAAGTACATATCTGTCTTTGATTCATGTCAATTAAGTTTTTATTTGGAAATAATTGACTCATTAACCAATGGGGGAAGGTGGTGGAATTGGCCAGCAATCTTTATTCAGTAATTTACATTTCAATAGGAAGTCTAAAGGTTTGAATGGTTTTAATTAACATTTTCTCATACTTTCAGACACTCCATTCAGAAGCTGAGGATGTCTTTGCACCTATCCCTCCACAAATGCTGCAATTCTTATATGTTTGTGTTCAGGGGTAGTTTGGTCGGAGTAAAGTATTCAATTATTAATGAAATTCGTCACATCATGAACCTTTACGAAGATGCTTTCCTTTTTTCGAAGTATATTTACAAGTGTCTACTATTACTAATTTCAGCTTCCAAATCTCATATTTCCGGGTCAAATGATTGAAAAAAGTTTACTTACTCTGATAAAATCCGTAATTTTTCCTCCATTTCTAATAAACTCTCCCTGGATACAACTACCATCTCTCTAGTACTACTGCTATCTGACTTTTATTCACTCCACGTTGATCTTTTGTGTTTGGGTATTCGTCCCTTTGGTTGCTATTCATGTCAACAAACTTTTGAACGACAAAAAACTTTTGTTAAATTTTAATTTTTGCGAAGTTAAAAGTGGTAATTCAAATGTTCAGTGATAACTTGACATAGTACTAACATTCTGAAATTAATTTCCCGTTCGCCTGCGTTCTTAAATAGCCTTCCTACATCCTTCAAAAATAACGTCCTCCGCATAGATCACTCTTCCTATCATCCCAAAACAACACTTGAATTCTTTTTCATAACTTTTCGCCTTTTGAAAGTAACGCGATTGGGACTTTGAAACGCATACCACGCAACCATTTTTCGATTTATTCGCGCTTCAAACCAAGTAACATTGAGAAAATATCAAAAGAATGACAACAAACACAAAAGACGAGCCCTTGTATTGCGTGCTCCACCACTACCGCATCTATTCGAAAACTTGGGGAAACAAATACGTACGCGCGGTGCAGGCGCATGCTAACGGCTATTCTCAACAAACAAAAATTCTCATAGCGCATAAGCAGCAAAATGCTCCTCTGCTCGTCCCCTTCCCTTTATCTCCAAATCAAACATGGCCGGTTGATTAAACGATCGGTGAGGTGAGCGTAAACGGTGAGCTTCTTAACATTAACTCGCCCTAATAAGAAGCTTGCACTGCGGGCTAAGGAAAATTAATTAAGGATTTTAGCACCGTGCGTCACAAAATAACAACGCTACACTATTTTCTTTATGTAGAGAAGTATCGAAGTAAACTTACCAACGGCTGCGACAATGACACTAGCATTCGTTCCCGCGCCAACTTTGTTTGTAGGAACACACGTGTAGGAACCATTAGACATCAATGAAACATGAAATATCCCTGAGCCGCTGGTCTTGATGAGATGACCATTAAAATACAAATGAAATTCAACTTCAGGACTACCATCAGTTTGGCAAGTTAAACTAAGGAGACTTTTACGAAGCACTGTGGTGTTCTTGGGAACTGGAATTAGTTTTGTGCCAGCAGGAGCACCTAAAAAAACAAAAAATAGCAATAAAATCATGGAATGACTGTTTTCCTCCTGCAGCGGAGAGAATAGCTGGTTTTCATATTCGTTTTACAGGTCATGCAAGCCTTTCGAGTCAAAAAAAAAAAGAGAGGGGGATAGGTCTGGGAAATGATCGCCATTGTAAAAATTAGTCGACATTGTGACAACGGGCCCACTAATAAAGCGCTCTGCTTCGGCCAATCAGAACACGCGGTATATAGAAACACTCTAAAAGCTACAGAGTTTACACGATTAATTACTTACAGTGCACTGTCACTGCTAGTGCTCCTTGTGTTCCATTACCATAAATATTGAACGAAATACAGCTGTAGTTCACCATTCTTGCTCTTTCAACAATTGAAGTTATAATCACTGCATCGTTGTCTGCATCATTGATATACTCATTACCTTTGTAGAATCGATATTTTGCAGGTGGGTTGGCCTGTGCGCTGCAGCTGATACTGAACGTTTCATTCACAACAACGACGTTGTTAGTCAGATTAGTTGTCACGATGGTGTTAACTGGGTGGTAGTCTATAATGAATTTAAAAGAACAACACTCCTCTGGTTGAGCAAAGGTAAGTTTTCTGTTCTACAGATCACTGTTTACTTAGAAAATATACAGCTTATTTTTTTATCTTGAATCTGGCATATCGGTGCACTACAATATATCTTACCTTCTGACAAAGAATAAAATTTTGTGAGAGTAGCTGAGGTTATTTTATCAGATATTTCAGACACATTTACAGCAGTTAAATTGATAAATAACCCTTTCGTTGTTTTTATAGCCTTTATAAATCGATCGAAATATTCCGACTACTAAAGCTGCAAGTGTTAGTTTGGCGCCGTGGTCAAAAAAAATATATAGTTAATATAATATATATAATAAAATATAGTTAGTGAGGGTATCGTCGCACAACTCGAAAATGCAGTAATTCAGGTGTATTTTTTCTTTGTTTTCTGGAAGATGGATATTACGCTAAATAATGAAATAATTGGGTAAAACTGCCAGCGGGAGGTTTTGCAACTCTGTGTAACCTCAGGCAATAAGGAGTGAAGGCAAACAGTTCAAAATTAACTTTCTCTGCACAAAAACATCGACAATCCTGCTATCAGGGCTTCCGACACCATTACTGGCAGTGCATTTGTAGCCTCCTTCATCTTGTTTACCACTGATGATGAGAGGAAAGGACACAGCTTTGTTGTCAGAAACTCTTGTCCAGGCGATATTTGGTGTTGGGTCACCATCAGCCACACATGTTAGATTTAATGTGTCACTTTCATTCAGGGTCTGATTGCCAGAGGTGTAGTTGATCTTTGCTGCATCTGTCATGTAATCATCCAACAAAATTAGTTTATTGAAACTTGTACAATTTAAAAACAAAGTTTTCACCGAACTAAATACACAACTTAACCTAACCAGCCAACAGAATCCATGCTAATTGTCACTTAAATGGGACATTAAAAAGATTCCCTAAAATGGTTTCCACCAACATTAGCTTTCAAATTTCCCTTTCTTGTCCGTCATCCAACCAAAAGGCACCTGAATAAGAGAGCACAATTTCATGTTCTCTTCACCTGACCAAGTAACTATACGGTAGCATCGTTCAACCCCTCCCCACACCCATCTCTTCGAGCAGTTGATATATTATTAATGCAATTTTCCTGACTACAAAGCTTTTCCCTAATCTTGACCCTTTCCCACCTTAGATCGTAAAATCAATTCTCTCCACTGCCTGCCACACATTTCTTCAGCTCTGAGAATTTTTATTTAAGGGAGGATTACGGTTGGTTCATGGTAAGATTTTAAGACTGCATGTGGTTACTGGTATGCCACAATTTTTAAAGCATTGAAAAAAACTCGAGGTTTTATAATGACGCAAGAAGGTAGTGTTGCAGAAGATTTGTCTCACATGCTAAAAAGAAAACCTGACGCCTCCCACATACTTATGAGTACCCTGTTTCACGAGATAAAGATGACTCAATGATATAGTGAATAATTGACACTCAACCAATAATTAGATGGTGACAAATAATCATATTATTAATAAGAATAATAATAAAAGTAATGATAATAACAATGATTACAATAGTAATGGTAATGATAACTTATAGGGGCTAGCTCAAGAACATCACTGTTCCTCTATCGCTCTATCCCCTAGGCTCCAATAATGATTATCCTACGCTTCGTCGAATAGGGTCACCCAGTTAAACTCAAGGTATCATATTTCGAACCTTGCTCGCCTCGCAAATTAGATGTTAGTCACTGAATGAATGAATAATTTGCAACACGCGTTTTGAGTGGGAAATCAAACTGGTGAGGCTGTAGTTGAACATGTACAGTAATTCTCTGTAGCTTGCACTGAATTTTTAATCAACTCGCAAAGCAACAATACCGGTAGACCTAAAGCTTTGTCAACTGGAGGAAATTATCATAATTCAAGTTCGTGGAGAAGGGGTTTTGAGTGAAATAAAAAGGATTCATTTCGCAAAGTAGTAATCCAGGAAGAGTTACTATTTTGCGACATCGACTATTTCCCCCCTGCCGAGACAGTGTGACCTCTTTCCTGTCGCAAAAAGACATTCAAACATTGCAAACTAGTATATTACCAAAGATTTTAGCCTCCTCTTATTTCCTAAACCGTATTAAAATATATTTTGTAAAATAGTAATTTTGGGGGAGACACTATTCTGCGAAATGGACTATTTTCACCCTTCAAACCCAATGTTTTTCTTTTCGGGTCATAAAAATACGTTTAAACATTACATTATTGTAGATTCCCAAAGATCTGGGTCACCTCCTATTTCATCATCCATTTAAAATTGATTTCGCAAAGAAGTAATTTTAGAACATTTAATATTTCGCGAAATGGATTATTTCCAATCAGTGGTAACCATGAAGCCATTCTCGTGTAACACAGTAGGTTTGGTAGTATACTAATTTGTAATGTTTAAATTCACTTTCGTGACATGAAAAAGGACACAAAACTAGCCAAAACGATTGGATTGTCTTTGGTTGCCGTTGACAATCAAAATAAATAATCGACTAGCAACAGTAGCCAAGTATAAAATACGCATATATTCTGAAACTAGATGCATCGAAGTATCATTTAAGAGGAAAAAAAATCCAACCTTAAGCAAATCAAGAAGCATCTGCACGTTGATATTTCCCTCTCCCCCAACATTGACCTTTGCGGTTGAAAATGTATTAATTAGCTGGAAGCCACTCCCTTTTTGGTCACCCCTGAATTTGAAGTTGAAAGGGTGAAAGACAATTTCCGCTCCTTAGCTATCATTTTCTCCTCGTAAGAAAATTTATATTCTTTTATAGCCATGTCATCGTAACTTAAATCCTTCTGCAAAGGTATGATGAATCTATCGATGACCACGCAACAAAGTGGCCTAATTTATGCTTCTTATCTAACCTCGCTCCTCTTCTCTCCAACTAACTACTGGAGATCTGTTAAACATGATGATCTACCCAAAGGGTATTTTTACATCAAATAATTATTTAAATCAACTCTCGCTCACTTCTACGCTAATGCGTCGATCAGTTCGAAGCTTTAATATCTTTCGGGCAACATCCCCCGGGGGACATTTTAACTCTTAAAGATTAGCTCGCCAAATTCCTGCCCCTCACCCAACGGCCACATTTGATAGTCAACTGCCCTCCCGTAGACAAAAAATGCAAGTCTATTAGTTTTTTGGCGCCACTGTTGGGTTTTTTACTTCACTCTACGATCTGAAAATTCATCACACTGGATGTGTTTTGCAACTGAAAGCAATACATCCGAATAAATGATATCTAACACTGTTTTTTAGAGGCTGCCAGCAATCTATTATTTTCAAATTTAAGCTTTAAATGACATGATCAGCTCAAGGTATCTTATTTTGCACATTGCTCGCTTCGCCAGTTCAGTGGTTCTACTGCGTATAATTCACCGCTTCAAACGCCAAAGTTCTGTTAGGTTTCCATGATGCGCCATTACGCCCATGACATAATTTGCAAGGAAAAATTCCGTTTTCTATCACACGCCGCCAGAGTCCTTAGTGATCAGAAAATAATGTGAAATGTTTGTTGTCTTCTGTAGTATCACAACAACAACTGAAAAAATATATTTTTAGTTCCGCTGGCATAATTAGTTGATTTAAACGGTGAAATGCTTTATTTTCGAAAACAAGATTTTTTTCCAAATTTCTTCTGATAGGCTCAGTGACCACATTGAAAGAAAAAGATCAGTCTCGAAAATCATTAAGAATAAAAAGGTAGGTTTCGAAATTAAAACTGAAATATAGTTTGAATTGTACTTTCGCCCTGATAACGCTCCATGCTGGCCGCCTGGACTAATCTAAAATATTTAGTCATATTAACGCTGTTTCTCCGACTCTATTAGGCACCCTGTGAGACAGAAAGATAATAGCACTTTAACTAAAACTATGCCCGTACAAATACAACTCTTCTGTAGGCTATCCTTATCCTCTTTCATTAAAATAAAATAAAAAAATTAATAAACTCAAAAACAAATGATGGTAAAAGACTCTAAAAAGTAATCCTTTTTCCCGTTGTTTTTGACTCACGTTGCTCTTTCTTCCTTTTGCTGATAAGTTGGCTAACTTTGTCGGCATGACGAGAAAATTAATTGCCGCACTATCTATCTCTAGGAAGCGTTGGGATCAGCTCTAATGTTTTCCTCTATAGTCGAAGCTCTTGCTTCATTCTCTCTGGCGTACCTTCTTTAAGGTTAACTTAGCTTCTATTGCCCTTCAGCGAAAACCTTAGTTTGCAATAGCTTTTGATCTATTTTCAAGAAGCAAATTACATACCAAGATGTGTTTTATAGTTTGGTCCTCTCTGGTACATGGTTTTCTTTTCCGAAGTAAAATTGGTGATTAAAGTATTCAAAGTACTTATCTTGGAACACTTATAAACCATGAATATCGCTCAATGTTCTTCTATTTACGAGAATGCACCTCACGGGCGCACACGGCCGCGACCATCTCTGCGCCAAGGCATAATAGGGGAATAAATCCTTATGCCTCTACCTGTAGTCAAGCTTCGAACCCCATGTTACCGAAAAGTCCTCGTAATTCAAAAAACATATTAGTCTAAGTTAAAATCGTTTCCACTCACATTTCACTGAAATCTTGACTTCGTCTTTGATGGTAGTTGCGGCAAAGTCGTCGGGACTTACAATCAATTCATACCTTCCACTGTCTGATCTTTGCGAGCGAAGGATTGTCATTGTTGATTGAATATCTGTTATATTAAAAACGAATCGATCTTGGACGTTACTAGCCACCTGAGTTGTGCCTCCACTCCTATACCTCGCAACTCTTTGAGCAAAAAGCGAGGGGGAATCAGGGGTGAAAATTACTTCTACTTCATCCAGAAGAGAACCATCAAGAGTGTATGTCCACTGAAGGGTGATGTTGTCATTTTCCGCTGGATACAATGGACTTGAAGGAGTCGAAGTAAAGGATGCTGCTTGCTCTTTGCCGAAAAAGAAAAAAATCATATTTGAGAAACGAGGTGCTCTACTTCTGATGTCAAGGAGAAAGAAAGGAAGCATCATTCCCACAAAGTTTACGGATTCAGCATCGAAGGACACGACCAGCTAATCATTTCAAATTAAGATAAACCCTACGAGCTTGATACTCCGTGGCATCTACAACACAGAAAAATCTCAACGCCCCCAGGTGTTTTTCGATCGATGTTGAAAATAACAGCCACGGTGCTCAAAGCCGTGATTTAAAAATACACTTTTATAACCTAATTTTTAAACGGTGATGTATATTTTAACAGTCTGATGTAACTGTTACAGTGCAAGAAGTGCATTTTAAATGAGTTATATTCAGGAAATACACTAAACCTTAAATATAAAACAGAATATTGCTAAAAAATTGAAAACATTGGGCAGAATGCCTATTGTTCTCGCAACATTTACTTGCAGTGGCGAAAATGTTATAGATCTATAATATAAGCAGCGAAGCGTAAACAGTGAGGTTCTCATTGGTCGAAGATCACGCGCGCTTTCCTCCGAAGGGAATACTGCCTTAGCTCATTAACTTGTCAAGGCGGAGCTAAAGGCCTCGAAACTTATTGTTTCATCTATTGTTTCTGATATCACACTTAAAGCGCGCGTTTACGTTCGATTTTTTTCAAAAGTCATAACACTTTCATCTCACGCTACAACCTAAACAACATACAGTTCGCTTCATATCAAGCCTACGACAGTTTGATAAACAGCGGGTGTTTCTATTATTTATCGCTTAGGATTCGATTGCCTCATCGGAAAATTACTTGTATCCGATTGCGCTTTTTTCGATCGTGGTGGGAGGCTCGTTAAAGCTCCCCGTTAAGGATTGTGTGTCACTTTCCAGAAGTGCTCTTAGGATTCATCGCCTCGAGAAGCTTAGAACCCTAAAGAGCTTTCTGACACTTTAAAGGTGGTGGCGGATCGGGAGTTTCTGGATCGTCCGTTATTAATTCGGCGAAGGTAAGATAAGTAACAAATACCGTACTTTTTAACTGATACACGTGGGATTGTTTTACCTGTTCAGAACATGCGCATTTTTTTGCAATTTTCAATTCCTGGCCTTTTTAATTACACTCGACTCCCGACATCTCGAACCTTCAAGGCAAATTGAAAAGGGTTCGAGTTATCGGGAATTCGATCGAGTTAACGGGAGTTGAGGATACACGCACTGATGTACCTTAAACCAACGAAACGTGAACTGGACGGAAATTGCTTCGAGGTTCGAGTTAGGGAGGGTTCGAGCTATCAGAGGTTTGGAGGATCGGGAGTTGACTGCATTAGGAAAAGGAGTTTCACGTCTGGGTTTCTGTGTATATTTTGAAGAAAAAAATTAAGGGCATGCATGTATAATTTTATGCAAATAGAAATCTGTTGTGTAATAGTCAATAACCATTGGCGCATTTTGATCCACCGGCATGCGTTTGTTTAGTCATTAAAAACTAGAGGTATTTCAGGGGCCATCACCTCCACACAATTCAATCTGCTGTAAAGATGGAAAAACGTAGTCGGCCGCCTCAAGGCTATTATAACTGCTGCGATTTCTCGTGACCGCCAATTTTGTGACCGAAAACCTGATGTTGTTGGTATTTATCAAGCTGAGCGGATAGTTGCCAAGAAAATCCACAATAGAAAGCCTCTGTTCATGGTTCAGTGGCAAGGTTACTGCCCCAGCGAGAACACATGGGAGCCAAAATCTCACCTACCATCTGAGCTGATAGAAGGATTTTAAAATCCTGACCCAGACCTAATACGTGTCGAAGAAACCAGAGAGCGGATCCTCCTCGTGTTCGAGAGGGGAATGAAAGTTCCACTTCAACATGAGGAGTCGATCGAGATTCACCATGGTGTCGTCCGTTTCTTATTTCCGAACCTACCAGTTGTCAGTGAGTCTCTACAATTTCTGAACTAAGTATATGATTGCTATACTCAAAAATCACTCCATGGAAATTAATTGTTTCAAAATATATTTGTTGCATTCTAAAATCAGTCTATGGCAATTTTTTTTTCAAAATAGATTTGCTGTATTCTGAAATCAGTCAATGGGAATTTCTTGTTTCAATATAGGTTTGCCATATTCTATAATCACTCCATGTGAATTTGTTTCAATATATGTTTGCTTTATTCTGAAATAAGTCTATAGGAATTTCTTTTTTCAATATATCTTTGCTGGATTCTAAAATCACTCCATGAAAATGCATTGTTTCAGAATAGATTTGCTGTATTCTGAAATCAGTCTATGGGAATTTCTTGTTTCAATATAGGTTTGCTATATTCTAAAATCATTCCATGTGAAATCAGTCTATGGAAATTTATTGTTTCAATACATACTTATTACTATTTGTGTTTCTTTTCTTTTTATTAATCTACTCTCAGTGTGGCTACATCCAGAATTCTTGACAACAATTCATGTTTTCTTGGCTTTTTTGGAAGGCTTGGTTGGTGGCCAACTATATCCACAAGGAGTTTAACAAGTTCTGCAACCTTAAGTTTTTGTAATTCCTTTTCACCAAACTGAAGAACTTGTTTTGGTGGGGGAACATGGACATTACTGCTTGGCTCTTCTGTGGCTGTTCCCTCTGATATTTTGGGGTATTTTTTTGCCACCTCTTCTTTGCCACCATTGTCCCAAAAGGTTGCATCTCTCTTTAAATACTGCCGAAGCTTTCTTTGATGTGCAAGGAGGCTTTCTAGTCGTTTCTCCACCAGTAGAAGATTGGTACAGGCATCCCACCTGTTTATCTTCCGGTGAAAATATCTCATATAGTCATCATTCTTCTTTTCGACTCCTGGTGAGAAACACAAGTAGTTGTTAAATAAATAAACATTTTTGTCACAACAGATAGAGATGGAATTTAGCAACATTACCTTGACCGCTAAACTTCTTTAATGATCCATGCATTGTGATCATTGTTGGGACATGAAAAATGAGTACATGCATGTATGGGGTGATGATATTTTCTGGCAGATATCCTGGTCCGCTACCAGTCATACCAACCATTAGCTGTCCCCAAGTCTTTGCCTGTTGATACCGCATAAAAATTTTAGTAAATGAAGTTTCAATTTTTGATGGAGTGATCTCATAGCAAACTAGCTGTTTAAAGATTGACATATTCTTATTTTCTCTTGAAGCTCAATAATTTCCTGTTCAGTTGGCTGCTCCTTGTTTATTATATCTAGTAGCTCTTTGAAGCCCTTAAAACAGAGGAAAATAATTATTGTCAACAATCATCTCCATCCTTTAGTAGAAGCTTATAGTGCTCCTTTAGGATGACATAGAGTGAAATTCTTTTTATGGTTGTGCTAATTATTGCTGAACTTTATACTATCCACAGTTTCTTGACTGTTGATGCCCTTCCCAGCATGCAGGAGGATCTCCTCAAAGAAATCTGGCAATTTCTTAAGCAGAGTTAACACTTCTCACCCCCAAGAAGAGAAGTCCACTCAATTTTTTTTCTGCATCTCTCCACACATTTAAGGAGATTCCTATGGATTTCACTTAACAGCCAGAAGTTTATTGAGGTGTTTTCTCTGATTACCAGGTTTGTCTTTATTTTCAGTTTGAAATAAAATAAGAAAATTAACCAAAGAAAGCCAAATGCTCATGACCTTTTGCAACTACTTAAAAATAGTAATTATTAATGTGGGCTACCCTATTTGCTTAGATTTTAGTTGTTGCCTAATTGGTATTTTTTTTACAACAAAAATCACAAACCTCATCCCAATCAACCCAATCAAATACCTCTAAAATGAGCCCCTGTTAAAGTGTGTCTGTTATATGCAGCATCAGGTGCACCTCATCTATGACAGTCACTACATTTTCTAGAGGTATATCAAACAGTGGTGGATACTGGCATCCCAGGTCTCTCGTCCAGTTTGGCCCAAACTGTCTTGCCATGCTTTGGGAACTGTAGGTGCATGTGATATTCACAGACATGTTGCACCTACAGGTATAAGGCACAATGGTTATTTTTGTTATAATTATATACATGAAACATGGTAACATGATTATTAATTATTGCAAATAATATTTGAAAAGTTAATAGTGTTGCTTGCCTGTCTTTTTTGTGTATCAAACACCAGATGCAAGAATTATTGGAGGTTGCCCCTTTCATGCCCATAGCAACTAACAGGAACTATTAAACAGGAGAGGAAAAACACAGTCACTTTTTAAGCCTTGATATTTTCTAACTTAAATCAGGAATTATCAACTAAATGGGTTTCACTTATTCCCATCAATTTCGTATACCCCTGCTTGATAAACTTATTTATGGCACATCTGACATTTTTTAATCCCAACTTAAGGGTTTCATAATCTTCATTCCCTTTAATTAGTGCAATGGTATGGTTTCCTGTGAAATAATAACATTAAGGAACAAAACTGAATGAAAGCAACAGAATTAATACATGTATGTGCAGTTACTGTCTATTAAAAAGAATGCATTTTTTAAGCATTTTTTGCAGTATTTGACCTGTTAACCATTCCATGTAATAAATACATCTAAAAGCCAAAAGTTACCTGAACTTGAAAGCATATGTTGACCTTTGTCCAGAAGTGAAAAAGAAAATACAAAAAGGGAGCTTGTATGGAACATTCTTGCCCTGTCCCCTGATACTTTGACTTTTACGAGTGGCTCTTTGTCAACTGAATTCTTGAGTTAAAAAAACAACAAAATTGTCTGTTAGGTTTGACTATTGTAAATTACCAACCAAACATATCCCCTACTTTTCTTACGTAGCTTTGAAAATACTCTTACATGTCCTCTTATTTCCTTTTTCCAATAGAAGCTCAAACGGCAGTTCAGCTCCAGGACAGAATCCTGGTGTCCTTGTTGGTTTCCACAGGGCATCAATGACTTTCTGGCAAGACTCAACGAAGTATGTCTTCGGCAGGGAAGACTCTTGTTGGGTAAGTTCATGATAAGCCTCCTGAGAGATAGTAAACCTATCCATGATATAAAGGATGGTCCTTATTTTTTCTTTCTCTCCTTCAGATAGCCTCTCAAAGGCATCTTTTTTCTTCTCTGTTGGTTAATTAAATGTAAAACCAAATGTTTAATCCATCGTTATATATATGCATTTTTGAACTCTTTGCAAAGGATGGGATAGCACATGTTTTAAACCCTTTTTTTAATTATAAACACTCTATATGTCACTTTATAGCTCACCTTTACAACTCTAAAACTGGAATTTCCTTGCCTTTCATTTTCAGTTGTCAGATCCAGTTCATGGAGCAGGCCATTCCTATCTGAAACTTGAAGTGCCTAGGGTACCAATCCATATGTTTCGGCAAAAAACAACGCTTCTCTTGCCCTTTCTCTGCACAAAAAAGGGAATATTTAATAAATAAATAAAAAGACCGATGTCAGAATCAGTTAATCAATTCTTTTCTTGTATCGAAGATTTCGTTTTGTGTTTTTATTGTTTATTAGGTGTCCATGGAAACCGTCTGTAAAGATATACTATGTTCGAGGTAATTGTGTAATAAAAAGTTATTTGGCATAGTGTCTCTGCTTGTCTGTTTTTAACATAGTCAAGTAAATCTTCGATGTATTAAAAAAAGCTAACTTACTGAATTTGTGCCAAGTGTCTCTGCCGTTGCCACTTGCCAACTTCTGTAAAGTCTTTCCCAGAGTGGGTATCGCACATGTGCCGGTAGAGATCTGCCGCCTTTGCTTCCAGAGATGTGTTAAGCTCACGATTCTCCCGTGTGAGGTGCGCTACAACGTCGTTAGGAGACTGTTCAATTTCGTGAGGCTGAAGAGAAACCTTAATCCACGTCTCACTTTCCAGCTGTTTCCTCTTTTTGCCGTTTAAGGTGGACTGGATCTTGAGCCGAAATCTCCGTACCCTTTGCGCAAATGCTTGCCCCACGCGTTCACAACCAGATACCGCGAGTCGGTATCCAAGTTGTGATACACCTATTTTGAAATAGTTCAAACAGTGTCTTGGGCCTTCCGGATACTTCCCTCCATCTCCAAATACCTTCGCCATTTATTTGTAAATCGAACGTTGGATTAACAACGTCAACGTATGGCGACACCATGTTTAGTAACATCAAATTGATTGGGGTTTCAAAGACCTCTGAAGAGAGTCCCGATCGCATACAGTTTGCTCAGCGAGCTCTGAAAAGAGCTCCCGATCACTGACAGTTTGTTGGATGATCGCGGGTTCAGTGAGCTCTGAAGAGAGTCCCGATCGCATACAGATTGCTCAGCGATCGGGGGTTCAGCGAGCTCTGAAAAGAGCTCCCGATCACTGACAGTTTGTTGGACGATCGGGGGTTCAGTGAGCTCTGAAGAGAGTCCCGATCGCATACAGATTGCTGGGCGAACGGGGATTCAGTGAGCTCTGAAAAGAGCTCCCGGTGGCATTCAGATTGCCGAGCGATCGGGGATTCAGTGAGCTCTGAAAAGAGCTCCCGATCGCATACAGATTGCTGGTCAACGCGCGCCATCATGACTTAACTTAAATGAAGGTTTGGCATCTGATACACATTGCAGTTTTAAAATTCGCGGCAGCTGTGAACAATTTTACGAGCGAATGAGTTTCAACAATGGGCATTGTTTAGTTTGACAAGTGTATTGTTATTCATGGCTAGGCTAGAGACAATGGCTCGCTCATCTAAAAAGCGCCATTTCTGAACACAATTTCGACTACAATTTTTCAAACTGAAATGGATAAAGGTTCCCATCGGCCAATTTTCAAACTTAAAATGGATTCTGTGAGAATAAAGACTAATCTTTTATTTGCCGCGCGTTGATTGTTCAAGGGTAGTAAGGTTTTTCAGAAAATCGCTCCGGAAAATGACTTCTATACTAAAAATACCCGAATTTGGTGCATTTTCAAGTTTAAAAGGATAATAGTTCTACTTCGTAAAAAATCGTTAATTTTAGGTGCAAATTGTAGATACATCTTTAATCTTCAAAAAACCGTGCGTTGATTTAGAAGCAAACACTTACAAAGCTCAGAAAAGTGAGTTTTACGAAGCCTGGTTAGCCATTTTTGGCCCATTCTTCTCTAATTTAGGACTCCTCAAAGCCATGTCGCCTTCAAATTTGGTTATGAATATTTCATGACGTCCACCCATTCTGCCCCATGAAGAAAAAACTATAATTAGAACAATTGCATGAAACAAGGAATTCTTCGGTATAAGTATGTGTAGTATTTCTTCCTATATTTGGCCAAATAACTTAGCTGTTAGATAATCTGTTTTTCTTTGAATAGCATACCCTTAACCATTGTCACGTGATTATCCTTATGTATATCATTGTATATAATCGAGTTCTTTTGTGAGTGAAGTATTCATTCCATTATAAATGGCGTAGAATCAAAAGGAAACTTTTTCTTAGTCAATTATTTTGCCAGTTAACTAAAAAAGACAAGTGGTGTAATAGTTTCCAGTGAGGCCTTTTTTAACTGATGTAAAATTTTAAACGAATTAATAAACAAGTCCTTGAGCTGCCGCCGATCCACGGCATCATCAGGGATAGAAAATGTTCTGTAATACGAAAAGGATATTACAAGGTGGCGGGGAGATGTGAATTTTATTTTCGGGTGGCAAGAACATAAAGTTCGTATCTTTGGGCTAACGTGTCATCTTCGTTTTCTTAAATGGACAATAATGAACAAATGGTGAAAACCACAGCGACCACCATTGAGTCATGACACACGCTGGAGGTCACGGAGCATTAGAGTGATTCTAGCTTCTTAAGTGCTTAGAAAACGTCTTGCGTGCATCCATAACTAAATAGCGTGCGCTGTGGTGTATACCATTTGTTTTGGAACATAACTTCGATACACTGTGCCAAAAGAGTCATTTTCATTGAACAAATCCTACGTGGCCAGACAAAACAAGCGCGAAAAAATTAGTCAATGCATTCTCCCACGTCAGCAAGGTGCCCTCATGGGCAAATAGTAGCCACTGAACCATAGCGCATGCGTAGAGTTCTAGCCTAGAGGCCGGAACCTGAGGAGGCACTATAAAGTCCCTCGCGTGTTGAGAGAAATAAAAAATGACGTATGATCGAAAGGAGAATCTTGATTGGTCTTGAATGCGGCGCGCAAAAGATCTGCAAAATGGACGTGTTGTGGATCTTCTATGCCTATGTTGACGTCAAATCAATCAGCCAATGACTTTCATTTCACGGTTCGTGCTTCACAAAAGATCGTAAAGAATCGCAACAATTAAAAATACTGTTTGGTTTGCACCAGAACTCAAACGTTTTTTTCTTCGGGCAACGATGGTTCGTATAAGCACCAAAAAGAAATTTAATGATAAAAACCCAAGTGAGAAAAGGTAAAGATCGATTGTAAGAACTAAATTAAATCCCGAGATGTTTTTGTTCTCATCGGAGATTGCTTCGAAAGCTTGAAAAAGTCACGTAATCCCTTGCCTCCTCAAACGCAAACCAATGGGTCAGCGGGACTTCCTGGCGTTAATAACGATGGATCAAGATTTCCCGGGAAAAGTATCGCATTGCAGACACGTTTTGGTATTTCGATCACTCAGTGAAGCCTTGAGGAGGACGAGACTATAATGGGCAAAGTTTTAAAAAGCAAAGAAAAAACCTACGGCAAAAAAGGAAAAACCGGAAAGCATGCTAGATGAGAGGCAAGACAACGAATCGACTGACAGTTAAAGGAGCACCCTCATTGCTGAAATGAGTACCCTTGGGCAGGTTTTTTATGATTTCAAAATTACCACTCGAGGTGGTTGTTAATGTTTTTGTATTGAAGCTGGTACTTGTAGAAATAAAAAGGAAACCTCGTTTTTTATGCGTAAAAAATTTTGGATTGACGGTGACTTAATCTAGACGCCAGTGTGGAGCGGAGTACCAGTCGCTTTCACCAAGGATCCTCTTTTCTTGGCAGAATGATATTCTTTCTTTCTTCTCTGGGCCTGTTTTTTCCACTTTTCTTTATCCAAAGAATTTTTTCTCCCTTGGATTTTTCCATGGGCAAAGATTTTTCTATAAGCAATAACCTTTCGCGAGAGAATTTTTCAAGCGCGCGATGTAAACAAAATATGCAAATAACATGAGAAACGACCTCCACGATGAGCGGTTGCCGCGAAAATTCTACTAAGGGGACTCGGCCATTTGCAGGATTTCTTCCACCTTCCTAAGTTCTTAATTTTCAATTGAAAACACTTGAATCTAAATAACTCGGACGCTTTTGAAGATTTTAATTTTTTTGGAAACGTTAGGTAAAATGTCTGACTTCAATTTTTGTTAAATGAAAGATTCTTTCGGCCTCTGAAGGTGGGACGTAATCTCAAAGAGCATAGTGCCGTTACTTGTTACTGCGTTCCTCTGTTTAATAACACATCCGTAATTTCAGTTAACTGCCGCATAATACAGAAGTTACTTCTGAATTGAAAGGAAAGAAAGATTCTTAACTTATTTACGTTCTTTGTAAAAAGCGCACGATTATTCTTGTCGTCCTTGTCCGCCAAACTTTTAAAGTGTTTCACCAACATATAGACCCAGCCACTAATATTGACGTAAATTAATTGAGTCAAATCAATCAGCCCATGAATTTAACTACTCCTGCGGCTCGTGTATCACATCATATCGTACACAATCGAAATAATACACGATAGTGTTTGGTTTGAACCTGATCTCGATTATTATTTTTTGTCCAACAATGCTCCATATAAACTCTTAAAAGAAGTTTTAAGATAAAAATTCGACTGTTAGAAAAAGGCCGGGGGCATTTTTAGTGACAACTATTACTAGTGTAATAAATATACATGGTGGAGAAGGAAAAGCTGGCCTCAATAAAAACAAATACTGACAGCAAGCACGAATTCCTTTATGTTTGTTTTTAGTAGCTCCACGGGAATAATATCCTCTATTTCTCTTGGCTCGTCCCAACTTTCGAGAAATTCCTTAAAAATCTTTAGATCATGCAGAGTTTTCCTTTTTGGTGTCCTTTTTCTCTTGTTGTTC